AAATAAAGTTAAAGTTAAATTAAAGGTTAGATTTTATTGATAAAGTAACAAAGTTAAATTATAATTAGAAAAGAAATGCGAATACTACGATGAATAAATTTTAAAATGTAGATGTAAATTAATGTAATAAAAGTGAAATATGAAAATAAAATATTCGTAGAGAAAATTCAAAAGTAAGAGGAGATTTAAAATCATTTATCGATAGAATTTAACGAAATATATAATATTTTCAATTATTTTAATCTATTTTTTTATATCATCTTGCAATATATTCAATTTTAATCAAATCTTATTAAATTTATTTTTTGAATCAATTTTAATAATAATATCCATATGCTTTATTCGAGATTGCGAGATAATAAATACATGTTACAAAAAAAAGTAGTTTCTATTCTTCGAGTAATCTATAAATAATCTGCAAATATGTATCATCTTTCAAAACAATTCATCTTGTTTTCGATAGCGGAAGTTAAGAAATTTATTTAATTTCAATATGATGACAACAGCTCAATTTTACCGGTTCTACGTTCGAATAATCCAATCACAGTCAGAAGGGACATTTTAATCCAGAAAAAGTCGAACGCAAATATTAAAACTATAAGATATATATAAGAAGCAACCGATATCTAGTTATAATATACATAAGTATTATTCAATAAAATCTCCTTCCTTTTATTTTATATCTTTTAATTCGTGTACACAATATTATTTAATGTAATTAATTATCTTTAGAAATTCGAAGAATTTATTATACCAATTTAATGAAATAATATATACGATAAGCACAGATATTAATTTGAAAAATATTTATTAATTTTCAGGTATGAGGAAATCATCGTTTTAGAAACGAATATATATTTTATCCGGCAAGAAATATGTTTCAACTTGCTCATGATACGCAAGTCCAATAGAAACGATAAAGCTAAAGCGCAGAAGTTAGCAGCAAAAAGGCAATAAAACTTAATTCATTGAAATAAAAGAAGAATAATGTTTAAAAATGGAACACGATGAAAATAAGAGTTAATGAGTTAATTTGAAAATCGATTAGAGAAAAATAGAAACAGGATAGAGAAGAATAGATAATCACGTATAAGAATATATCGAAAGAGCGGACCAATGACTTGGCCTTTCAAAGGAAAGACACTTGTTTTAAGCTGCTTGAGACATGATAAAAATTTCAAAAGGGAAACAAATGAAAGTGACCTCTCGACATTCGGTCGCTGGAAAAGGAAGAGTTGGGGGCGGTAGTTAAACAGAAGGAAGGAGAGATTCAGAATGAGTTTCTGTCTATGAGTACGGGTCGAGTGGCACGGCACTGCTTATTGATCTCACTACCAATGGTACGTAGTATACATATACACCCGGTGCGCACGGGACATCACTGCACGGCAATACGTAATATATCCACTAGCACTATGAACTGCCTATTGCCATCACCACGAGTAACAGCTATATACGTCGACACAACTAACAGAATATGTTTTTTTACGATATGTCATACCAATGACAACCGGTCACCACCGTTGTCTCTGTTTCCTCACTGACACTTCGTTTCTTACGTTATTTTCCTCACTAGGCCACGTTTTTAACATTCCTTCATTTCCTTACTTATTTTATATTATAATACGAAACACGTATGTATTTATTTTTCTGTAAGTTGCAACGGTACCGTGTGAACATTCTATTCTTTTTTTTAATTCGTATAAAATTCGAATGTGAAATCTTTTTTTTTTTTTTTTTAATCACATGAATCTCATGAAATCTCATGAAAATCTCTTTTTTTTTCTTCACTCTTATATATATATATATTTGCACTTAAGCACTTATATATTATCGTAACGAATTTCTCTGATTTTTCTTTAAGCAAAAACACATACGCGCAAGTACTCTTCCATTCTCTTCCACTCTCTCTCTCTCTCTCTCTTCTCTCGCTCTTTCTCTATTTCTATCTCCCTTTCTTTCTCTCTCTCACTCTCTCTCATTTTCTTACTTTTCAATCAAAACTAACAAACTTCTATTTTCTTTCTTTTTCTCTCTTCCATTCAATCTTATATAAACTCTCGTACTGGCTGTTCATGATGCTTGCTTTCGTTTCTTTCACGAGATGCACGACACTTACGATAACCGAGTCGAAGGGATTGTGGCAGGCCAGGGCTGCTGCTGCTGATGAGCGAACTTCACGGGACTCGCGAGCTTTTTCACTCGGCTATCATCCCGTACAAGCTCCAAGATCTGCTCGGCCGTGGAAGGCAGGCGGCAGGGCTGCTGGAAAACGGGGGAGGAGGTATATTCGCTCGCCCACCGGAGAAAGGGGCAACGAGTGGGGGTAGACACGGGTCTGGCGGGAGTATAGTTACTTAGAGGGGATAGAGGACCGGGAAAAAGAGAGAAAGAGAGAGAGAGGAGGTAGGGGTGCTGTCACTGGAAAAGCAGCCAGGGGTAGGAACTCCCGTCACCACCAGATATGGGTCACTTTACGATCGATACCGATATAGAACCCCTTCAAAGCTAGGGATCACGAACGATCGCCTACGTCATTTTTACTTTGATATAGC